GAAGGAGAGGAGGAGGGGGAAATAGGAAGGAGAAGGAGGGAGATAGGAAGAGGAAGGGAAATAGGAAGAGGAGGGGAAATTGGAAGAGGAAGGAGGAAGTAGGAAGAGGAGGAAGGAAATAGGAAGAAGGGAGGGGGAAAAGAGAGGAGAGGAGGGGGAAGACAGAAGGAGAGGGGGAAAGGGAAGGGAGGAGGAGGAGGGGAAGGGAAGAAAGGGGAAAGGGGAAGGGAAGGGGAGGTGAGGGGGAGAAGGGAAGAAGGAGGAGGAGGAGGAGGGCAAAAGGGGAGGCAGACCAAGGTATTTGAGGAGAAGACAGGAGAGCCAGAGGCAGCCAGAGCGGCAGGCCCAGCCAAGGGGAACTCCCGGTCTCTCAATAGCAGAGACCTGAGGGTTGAATAGAGACACAAGGGGACGCTTGGGAGGGGTAAGGAAAGAGGGGGGGGTTCCGGAGGGGGGCGGGAGAAGAGGGGAGGGCTTTTCAAAAGGAGGCCAGTAAGGGGAAACCTGGAGGGTGTGGATCGAGCGGCGACGCGTGAAGGAAAGCCTCTCCCTCCGCATCTCGACGCTGCGTTGGGAATCCTGCCCGTCAGCGCCACCTCCGCGTCGCCAAGGCCTCAGCACCCCTCCCGCACCCGAGGGCAGTGCCACGCTCTGAATCTTGGTCAAATCGTCTGCCTCAACAGCGGAGGGAAATAAAAACGCGACGCCATCAACGCAGCGAAAATAAATGGTCCTCGTCATCCATGTCTTCCTCCGTCGCCTCTGCTCCTCGCCCGCCACGGCCGGGAGCAGCGCCGTCGCCGCCGACTCGGTCGCGCCAGTCATCAGCGCCCGCAGACACCGCCTCGCGACCGATCATCAGTCATCCCGGGATCCTTGGTGAGAGTCATCCTCCAGCCGAGGACCCGGCAGTAGCGGAGGGCAAGCGGCCAGGAAGCTTGCGGCAACAGAAGGATCTTAGAGGAGTTTACCTGTGGGATTCCTGTGGGTGGTCAGCCCTGCTTAATGACGCTCCGGTATCATTTGCAGCAAAGCATCTGCATCTCGTACTACTCTAAACCCCAAACCTCAAAGAACTGCACGCAGTGTCACAGCGACCACTAACCAAAGCATTAGCGCATTACGATTTTTAAAAACCCGCAAAAAACTGAACCAGAATCATCGGTCAAGTTGGCAGCCCTGACAACATGTCGGCAGATGGTAGACGAGAGTTGCCAGATTCAGCAAAACAATCAACTCTAATTTGTTCCTATTACGTTCATTCCGCATTACAACATTCGCAAAAGGGTAGACGCCATTTAAGCTTTTTAGAGCAACTGCACCGACTGCCTGACAACCTCACCGAAACTGCGGTCGGGGCGAGGCGCTGCAGGCAACCTCCCACTTCCTCCTGGCATCTCTCCGCAGCCACCGGCCAGGCAGGGCGCGCACGGACGGGCCCCGCGAGCCAGGTAACATTTGTTATGTCACATACATCCCAACAGTTCCCGTTCCGACAGGCGTTCGGGGACGGCTCCGAGGGGCGACGTGCGAGCAGCCTCGAGCCGGGAACGAGAGCAGGGCACGCGGCGAGCTCCCTCCTGGGCCGCGGACGCACCCTGGGTCGGGCCGGCGCCGGGGGAGCGAGCCGCCAGCACCAGTACGGATGAACACCTTGGAGCACGACCACTACGAACGAGCCTACCTCCCTACCCACCTACCAACCATCCAGCAAAACTACCAACTACATTTTCCACCTCTCTCCCTCTCCCTCCACTCTCCTTTCATATCCCCCTCTCTCCCTCCCTTTTTCCCTCTCCATCCTCCCTCTCTGTTTCTCTCCCGTTTCCCTTCCGACCCTCAGCGTCCGCCCTCGCTCGTGAGGTCCCGGGGCACGAGGCGTAAAGCGAGGGCCAGGGAGCGGGAGGGAAGCGGGCCGGCGAGCGAGCCATTTCCCGGAGACTTCAACACTCCTCAGAAAGGAATCACGACGGGGCGCTGTAAAATGCTAATTTCGAGACCCGCTGGTATGCAGACCTCGGTGCTGTCCAGATCATTCAGAAGGTAGACATGCCGTCGAAAATTCAGTGCAAGGTACTTGTGCGCAGAATTCAAGGAGATGAAAATTTGGTACGATGACTATATTAATATATTGCATATTTATGAATGCTTAGGTCTTTACTGTTCCCTCTCCCTCCCTCCTCCTCTCCTCCTTTTCCCTCTCCCTCTCCAAGTTCATCGGCCTCCCTCCGACCTCCGCAACCGCCTGTCTCCCCCGCTGCATCGAAGGCAATCGCTGTCCCAAAAGCGATATAAAACCCGAAACATCCTCCTTGTCTCGCACCGTCAGAATGAGCAAAGAACTTACGCAAACGAAAGGAAAACCTCAAACCATAAACATTACAGCTGGAACGTGTTTGCGCGTCATTAAGGGCGAAAACGACGTGTTATCCTGCGAGATTGTCCGTCTTACGGCACGCGACGGCTGCTCGCCCGAGTCTTGTGTTACCCTTATGGCGGC